ACCTTGATAATGTATTTGAATTACTAAATAAGTACAAAGAAGAGGTACTAAACTGAGATATGTTATGATGTATCTTCTACCTTAATATATGTGCTATGTAAAAGCTGTATGTGAAAGTTGAAATTATCAAATTGCCAGGAAAAAATGAGATAGCAGATTAGTCTGATAACAGATTAAGCTCTCATAAAATATGAAAATATCCATGAAAATAACTGCCAACATTGTTTTTTATAAAATATGACAACTTTTGCTCAAGAAAAGTCAGTATTTGAGAAATGAGAAAGTAAAGAAAATGTAGGAAATTATTAACAGTACATACATCTGACAATGGACCTACTTACAGAGTATATAAAGCATTTCAATATTTATATCAATAACAACTCTTTAAGTAAGAGTAGAATAATAAAAATATTATACAAGAGAATGTGTGAGCCTGCCAATAAGCACAAGGAAAGGATTGAAAATCACTATTGGGAAAATATATCAAATTAAGACCACAGGGGCTTAGCATCTACTACATATATAAAAATGGCGATGTTAAATGTCCATGCAAATGTGGAGCTCCTGCAGTCCTAGGGCACAGCGAGTGGAGAATCCAATTACGAAACAAGCTTTAGGGCCAGCCATCAGTGGTTCATAGCTATATTCTTACCCATGTAGGAGGCAGAGAGCAGAAGGATCGGGCTTCAAAGCTATCGGGGCAAAAGTTTATGAAGTCTCTTCTGAACATACAAAGAAGCATGCCCATGGCATGGCACATAACTGCCATTCTACCTCTGGTGGGAAGTGAACAATTTTAATCCAGTCCAGTTTAGGGTACATAAAAGAGTCGACCTCAAAAATAAATAGAGAAAAAGAGCTAAAAGCTCGGCTTAAGCAGTAGTGTACCTGTCTTGACAGCAGAAAGCTCCAAGTTCAAATCAAAACAACAAATAATAACAGAACCTAACTTTGCAACTCTAAATCCAGTATTAGACAAAGCTTTTTGACAATTTCCGAAGACATTCAACATGCACAAATTCAGTAGTTCAAAAATATCATTCTTACTATTTTCCCCTCAAAATTGAAATGCCTAAATTCACAAGACTAGAACAATCAATATTTTCTGGGGCTTTATTGATACATTTAAATTTTTGAGGCACATTAGCCCGTCAATAGATGGAAGAACAAACACAATCTGATATATTGGCAGAAGGGAATCAGAGACAGCAAGAAAATGAATCAATTGCATACAACAATAGCAAACGTTTCAATAATATCTCGAAGAAACTTGATGCAAAAGGGAAACACTACATTATTTCACTTTTATAAAGTTCTAGAAAATCAGATTATTCTATGGTGATAAAAATTACTATAGGAAAAAGATTTATTGAAAAATAAAAGAGCAAAAGGAATGAATGGTTAAGGGTGGGGAACTGTTACATATTTGGATGTGTGGATAACTGTCCAAATTCTGAAACTGTAGCTTTTAAAACACATCCACTTCACAATATATAAGTAGCAACTGATTTTTTAAATATTCAGAAAAATTAACAAATCAGCCAACTCTTATACCACTGCATTAAATCACTAATTGTCTCCTTTAGCTTTTAAAAGAAAGTCTGCAACCACAAATTATACCTCTTAAGCCTTGCAGAGAATAGCAGTCTAATACTTTTCTGTCCTAATTTCAAATCACTTTTTTCTTTTTTACTCAATGACTAACCAAAATGACTTTCAATTTCATAATGCACATCTCAAGACTTCTATGCTAGGTATAGTCTTCTAAGCTCCTATTACAATTCTGCTACTTTACTTCTATCTCAAATGCAACACCTGTGGGTACGTCTCTGCTTTCAGGAATAAGTGAGATTCAGTGGGTGTATGTTATTTTAGTATCACAGACCTTTTAATCTACAGATCATCATTGCAAATATCTACTAATTAATATTGGCTTTCTCAATTAGACTCTCAAAGCTATTAGACTAGAGAAATGAAATACAGTCTCACACTTGAAAATACATTTAACAATGTATCCTACAGTTCACATTCTGGTTTGTAGTCAAAGTTCCTAACTATGTATTGGAAAAGGTGAATGCAAGTTGTATGAGTACCACTTCTCAAAATTTTTGGACTAAAAGTATTTTCGAATTTTTCAGACTTTGGAATACATATATATATATATATATATATATATATATATAATTACAATATAATGGAAAAATGATCTAGATCTACACATGACATTTATTTTTGTTTCATACAAATCCCATTCACATCCTAATACAGTTTTATGCAATAATTTTGATTCACCTGTGTCTCAACTGACTCACTATATTAGTTCAGGTGTGGAATTTTCCACATGTGGTTGTGGGTTAGCATTCAGAACATTTCAGATCTAGGATATTCAGAATCGGTAACAAAGAATATATTTTAAATGTCTTTGGAGAAAGATCTACTGGCAACAACCAAAAAATTAAAGTTGGAACAAGAGAATGGGAAGGACCAGGCTGCTCTCTCTATGTAGTATTGAGTCTTAAGAAGTAGAAATATTGAAATCAAATGACTACTAATGATTCATTGAAGAAATTCTTGGAAAACATATTACTAGGATTCTTGGAAACCCCACGTGAAAAGCAGTTGGCAAGTGGTTAATTGGGCACTGGGGGTTGGGGTGGGGGAGAGTTATAGGATTATAATTGTGTGGAAATAAGGTGGGACTGACTTCAAAATTGAAAGGTCCCAAAGTACTAAACTGTACCTAACTGTCAGAATAGAGAGAGGACAAAATCTATATGTTAGGATATTTACATATTTACATTGGTAGAACTATTAACATAAAGGTGTTGCTGAAGTCACTTAGTTTGATCTGATTTATTAGGGCAGTTATAGGAAGCTAAGCCATTGTGAATGTTCTCCGAGTTACAATGGAGTTACATCCTTACAAATACACGGTATGCTTAAAAGTATCATCTTTTTTAAAAAAATAAGACAGGTAACACATCTAATCTATTATATATCAGAGTATTCCAGCTTGACAAAGGACCAAAATTTTAAAATTATTATCCACATATACAAACATCATAATGAAACCTCTTAGTATGTGTAAGCAGCAAATGCTGGTAGGAAATTTTGCATTGGAAGAAGAGTTTCTATGACATGTGTATCCCCTTCCTAAAAGGAATCACTTCCACATTGAACCAGCTAAGATTGGGAACAAGGCAAAGGGTTTTTCTGAACCCCTAAAATATTCCCCTGTATCTGAAATCTGGAGACAGCACCAAACAAAATTCCACTTGTCCACACAACTGTAGCTGTTCCTTATGGAAGTCCTGTGTTTACTTATGATTTGGCCATTGTGTTAGGACACAGGATATCAGCACAGGAATAACTTGGACCATTAGGATTTTAAAGATCAATGAAATTATACCAATAAGGAAATTACTGTTTTCTAATGTCATTTTGTAGTGAAATCACTGAATATGTTCCCCAATTTCTTTTGATTGTTCTTTTGCTTTTTCTTGTATAACAGTTCTTCCGAACTGCTTAAATATGATGGGTAAAAACAGAGGGAGAGGACAGAGGACAGGAAGAGATGAGGGAAGAAATGACATGAGAGAATGTCCCAGCTGAATAGAAACAATAAAAGTGTTAAACTGGTTTTAAACAGAGCACCGTAGTAACTTGCTCTGTAGTATTTTAAAATGCTGTTAAAGTCTTCCGTTTCAATTTCTGCTACTGCAGAAGTAATTCCATGAAATTCAATGAGCTCTCTGGGTTCTTTTATAGTTCATATTTTATTACTTAATAGACAAAGAGGAAGCCAACATGATGAGATGACTATGATATTCTTATAAGATTAGCTTTTATCCAATGTCTAATATTTTATGTCCAATTTGAGAGAAAGCTTGAAGATCTTATAAAGAATAGAAAATATATAAGCTGGGCACCAGTGGCTCATGCCTATAATCCAAGCTATTTAGGAAGCTGAGGATTTCAGTTCAAAGCCAGCTCAGGCAGAAAAGTCTGTGGGACTCATATTTCCAATTAATCACAAAATGGAGCTTTGGCTCAAGTGGTAGAGCACTATCCTTGAGACAAAATATGCGCGGAGACAGTATCCAGGCCTTGAGTTCAAGCCCCAGGTCCGGGACACACACACACAAGAATAGGAAGTATATTTGAATATCATTTGTCGTATCTAAATATTATATTGCCATTTCAGACTATCTTTTCCTACGAAATACTGTTGTTTTGACCTGATGATACCTTTCTCTAATACTTGACTGTAAAATAGATACATAGTATAATAAATACCATCTATTCATTCTTATTTCAAGATAAAAGTGCAAAATTTACTTTTCATGGTAAGTAAGGGTTTTGATTATTTCAGGTAGGTTTAGTTCTTTGGTGGTCCTAGAAGCCAGGCATGGCTTTGAACTTCTTAGCCTTATTTTTTCCAGTCTAAAAATATGGTTTTTTCCTATACATATAATCTGTATAAACTGGCAACATAAACTGGAGAATTCATATGAAACAAATTACTACTGTACAGTGAGTTCCTAAACCATATAAAGACTCATTTCTGAAAAATCATACCAACCCATTAGTCTTCTATTTTAATATCCCTATGCTTTGACCTCATTATATATTTGCATATACATTTATTTTCATATTACCAAAATTGCTGATACAGTCTATACTCGAGAAGCATGACATTCATTAACTGATCAAAGCTATTACATTTTCTTTGATATTTGATTAAGAAGAAAAATTATACCTAAACACTATGAGCACTTAGGAAACTCCCACTTAGAAAAGCAAAAATACTCAAAGACGAACCAAAGTTTGTGCCTATACTCGACACTCTGACTATTCCAAAGTTCATAATCCAAATCAATAACATAGCAATCCTAATGGATAGTCAATAGGTTACCAGTAAAAATAAAATAAAAGCAAAAGCACAGGTAAGCTTCAGAATAAGTTTATTAAAGAACATTATTTTTCATTACAATTTGGAGAAGAAATGCCAAAAGTATCTTTTATGTCAGCAAGACAATTTACAGTTACTTAATTTTGTAATTTGAATTATCAAATTTGAAAGACAGAAAGGAAATAGGGTTCATAGGAATATTAGAACACTTCTCAATTCATAGGTAATCTTACTGTTGAATCTTGGTTTCTCTAACTATGTTAAGCCAATCCACAGATCATTCAGTAGAAACCAGATCTATAGAAAGGCTGGAAACAAGAAGAATGGAAAGATCTAGAAGGAAAAGCAGTAGGGTAACAGAATCTAGACCCATAACTCAGGGAAGGGAAGCCATAGACTCCATAACCCAGGGATCCGAAGCCTCTGGAACCACAGCCCTGTGGGTAGCAGCTTCCAGATGTATAGAATGGGGCATAGGAGCGTCTCCACCCATACCCCAGTGAGCAGGAGCTTCTAGATCCATACCCTAGCGGGTGGCAAGCATTGGACCCAAAGCCCAGAGATCCAGAGTAAGTTGTGAGGCAGGGACTGCAGAACGTAGACACTCTGGGGCTGTAGCAGGTCCTCTGGCAGGGACTGGACTCCACACAGGAACTCTGGCAGGGATTGGATTCCACACAGGAACTCTGGCAGGGACTGGACTCCACACAGGAACTCTGGCAGGGACTGGACACCACACAGGAACTCTGGCAGCGCATGGGTTCGCCACAGGTGTCCTGACAGCCACCGTGGAGAGAAGAGGCCAGCTGGCAGGAGCCCGGAGCGCAGAGGTCAGTGCTGTAGACCAGGTTGCTGGGGAAGGCAGAGCCACAGGAGGACCTGGACCGTGACAGGCAGCCCTGAACGGAGCTGGAGGAGAAGTTTCCAGAGCAGCGGCTGTAGGACATGTTGAGAGGTGAGGTGAGTTCTGCTGTGAGTTCAGCTGAGTCCTAGGAGTGTGTGTTTGAGTGTCCTGCTCTGGACAGGAGCCTTTATATTGTCCCCGCTGTAGGTGTGGTGGCCATTCAGGGTCATCCCTGGCATGCTAGTGCCTCCTTATTTACAATGCATAACTCTGTAATCTGTCTGTAATTTTATTTGAATAGTTTTCCTATATATTTATGGGTGCTATAATTTGGTGGTTACAGACAAAGCCAATAAATGACTCCTACGTCTGAAATGCTGTGACTGTTTTATACTAATGGTATTCCATCCAAAGAATCCCCTTCCTCTTCCTCTTGACAAACCAATTTTATTTTATGTCATGGGAAAATCCTTAGTTCCAAATGACACTGAATGAAGTAAAGTTATCTTTCTTCTTTTCAATGAATTAGAAAGCCCATTATGTCTTTCATGAGAAACCTACTAAAGTGAAGTTCTCATCACCAACCTCTCTAATTTTCCAAAATGATCATACATGGAATACATGCCCTTATTCATTTTGTCTTGCATCCAATATGGAGAGGTAAGTATAAGCCAAGACAAACTGAATGATATTGGTATCTAAACACCTTACTTGGTGCAGTGTTGACAGTGATGGACAGAACTGGGATAGTCTTAGGGATGATTAATTTGGGCACTGGTAAAGATGCTCACACAGGACATAAGAAAAAGAATGGATTTCAGATTCAGCGTGGGGCCACTGGCCCTACTGGATAGCCAAACATGAGGCAACCCCGAGAATTCACTTCTCACGCCTTAAGCCACAGGAAGCCTCATTGACTTAAAGCCTACAGCTGTGGTCTCAAACCCAGCTCTGCACTTTAGCAGGAAGCTTGCTTTTATGGATTGCTCCCAGTAATCACTGAACACCAGGCAAACACATTGATTCCTCGAATCCTCTAAAGGCCAACTTGGACTTGAATTTCCCTATTGGACTTAAGATATTTTTAGTCCATATAGTTGTTGCACACTCTCCTCTCTCTTCTTATTATTCATTGTAAGCAGAGATGGTAGTGGGAGAAGGGTGGATGAATGAAAAAAGGAACAGAGAACAAATTCAGTGTAAAGGAAGTAGGGGGGTGGAGTCTAAGGGAAGTGAACAAATACAATAGGGAGAATAATGGAAGACTTTACCGTGATCAGGTGAACTGTGTTTACCCAACACAGAGTTGGAATATTTTCAACCTTTTGAAGTTCAGAAATTTCATTTCGTTTTAAAAAAGAATTCAGTAGGTCTTAGATATATTGAATCTTTTATAGACATTTTGTATAAATCAACTATTTAGTTGATGCTCACAGAAAGAGAAAATTTATTGTGTATTATTGGGTAGATAGCAAAGAATTCAGTATGATAGTGTGTCATTTGAGAATGGGCATTTAATAATAATTTCTCACATTCTCAGAAACCTGTTGGTAGGCAATTGCCTACCAACAGTCATTGTTTACATGTAGTAATATGTTCTTGACTAAAATGGTTTTGTCATGTCTAAGGAAGATAATGTAGTGAGACCACCATCATACATAATTATTGGCTAAAACATCATTATGAAGAACATCATTATGATGATTATCTAAGTCTAGCTTTGTGATGTGCATCATATTCATCCTATAATTCAGATTCTATTTTCTTATGCTTGCTTATATTTGAATGTTACTTTCCTTCTGTATTTTAATACCATAATATATACTTCATATGTAAAAAGTTAGAATTTCTCTTGGTTCTGTGAGGCTAGTTAAATAAAGATCATTTTAATGCAACCATGACTTGATATAATTTAAACCTGGGCTTCAGCCTTATAAGAGTCTATTAGAATTGAATTTCACTGCTGGGAATTGTTTCTTTAAGGTCCAGAATATTTCCCAGGGCCCCAACTCTTTCGTAGGCTCTGAATATTAATTTTGTTCCTCTAGTCCTACTAGTTTGTGAAATTTCTGTAAAGTCCCTTAATCAAAATTCAAAAGCAGCATCTAAATTTAAAGGGACCGCCCACCACCCTAGGGGAAAACACATTGCTTTTGACTTTGTGGCTCTTGTAAGAGCTCTGTGATTATACAAGGCTCTGATATTTCTCTGAAGGATGGGTGTGCATGTGTGTGCATGTTTATAGATACAAATATAAACATAAAATTATCTATATATGCATACACACATCACATGCAGAGATAAACATAAATAATGTACATAGATAGTTGATTCATATAAAAATATGTGTTTATATATAAACACACATTGCAAGTATTTTCTCCTGCATTTCACTTTTCAGAAGGGAAATGTTTCAATATTTTAAGCAATTTGCAATAGGTAGTTTTTTTATAGGTTTGAAAGATTTGTATCTTTTCAAAATAAATAGAGTGACAAAGATGAAGGGTTCCATTAAAAACTAGTTATATTAACTTAACCTGTATCTGCTGATAAGAAATCTCAGCAAACTCACATGGAGGCACAAACAGGTGTCCAGGCTGTGTCTCCAACCCTGTCCATCGTTTCGCACCACATACATCTGCTTCCTACAGTATTACAACTTGCTTTAGACTCACCACGTCTTTTCATTCAATTTTATCCTTCCAGTTCCTACCTCATTTCCTCCCCTCTGTACTATATCTACACTGTTCAAAGGAACATCCTGCCCCTGGGTCAATGGCAACTGTCACCACCCAGCTGGTATCTCCTTGGTAATCATCTGCATAGCCTGATAAGTAGAACATTCTACCTAAGGATGTTTTAGCTTCTCCTAAACATGATATACCCCTGTAAGGAATTCTCCTGTAATTGAGCCCTAGTTACATGGTGAGGCCTTTCTTAATAACACACTGTCTCTTGAACATCTTCATTTCCTGGCATGTTTTCCTTCTCCCTCTACATATTCATCGGGATTACTTCCTAAATAAACAGCTCTTTATTCAACCCAGGTTTTCAACTTTTTTTTGACAAAAGACACAGATGCCTCATTAGCATGTTTCTTCGGGAATCTCAATGTTTCTTTACCTCCTATAATTTTACTAAAGTAATTCTTAGGGGAAAATAACAAAGATATCTAACTGGGAGAAATGAAGGGCGTTAATGTTGGAGAAAGTACATGAAACTCAAACAAAAAACAAACACAAGTGTAGCCATGACACTTTTGCAGGAAGAATGTTTTTGTTTGTACTTTTTAAAAATATAGGTTTTTAGTTATTATTAAGATGTTGTATCAGAATGGTTGTTATTTATGGCAGACAATAAGTACATTTCTCTTTGGACAATATCACCCCTTCCTTTGCTTTCCCCTAGTTTCCTCACTCTCATCTCTGACTGCAGGTTGCATGGTTCATTATCCACATAGTCTATACTGAATACCATGACCATGACCCTGTCTGTTCACCCCTCCTCCTCCCTTCCTCTGGTCCCCTTTTGTTCCCCCAAAAGACAACAAATCAAAACAAAACAAAAAAAAACACACTACAACCACCACCAAAAACAATTTTAAAAACACACTCTTCCTTTCTTGGAATTCATTTTATTAAATAGTATTTTAAATATTCATTGGAGTTGTGCCTTTGTGTTCCTCCCCTTGGAGTACCTCCTTTTAGTCTGATTGCTTGTGTGTGTGTGTGTGCCTAGAGTCCCGTAAAGGTTACCATGCCAACTGGTATTTTAGATCAGGCTTCCATAAATGAAAGTAAACATGTGCCATCTATATATATATTTTTTACTTTAAAAAAATTAAGTAGTTTTACAAAGGGGTTGTAATTCAAGTCACATTGTGTATATAGTGAATCTGGATCAAGGTCACCCCTTCCCAGCATTCTCCCCTGTCTTTTCCAATCCCATCCATACCCTCAAGTTACATAATTTTTGACAAGATGGAGGTCAGATATTTTTAATATTGGCTACTAAAAGAATATATTTTCTAGCTAATAAATATAATACAGTCAATTAAGGGAAGTAGTCAATTAAGATAGGAAGTACTGGCTTTTGTTTGTTGAGGTGCTATCCTAAATGAATGATAAAAAAGCAAGATCCCCAACTTGTAAATGACAAGTTGGTAATTTGGGCAAGTGGGTGATTACCCAAAGCTGTAATTTTCAACCACAGATGAGGTTCTGTCAGAAACAAAGCTCACAAATCAAAAGAAAAATTGTCTACAGCCTACTAGTGGAAAATACAATGGAATTATCAGAAGTCTCTGCATGAACAGCCTCGAGTCATAAATTTCATGTGAAATATCTCGATTTTTCATTGATGAATAATTCAGCTAAAAATAATGATAGAGATCAGTTTTATCCTGAACAAATAATATAGCCTCTGAGATGAATTTTAGAGCCTTTACAGATTCTTCTAAAACAGATCACCCCTTGATGCGGGCAGGATTGTAGGAGTTTAGAGGCAAGGCAAGGGGAGAATATTTCTTTTCCTATTAACTGGCTCAGAGAAAGGGCAATCCTGTGAGGAAGCAGAGTGCCTGAAGAAAAAGTCACACAATTCTTTAGCTGTGCCTTGCAAACTCATGTTCCCTATTTAAATCTTCAGTATTTGTTTTCAGGATTACCTTACAATTATGTTTGAAATAACAAACAAAACCAAAATGTGAAAGGGATCATATCTAGAGGACTGATCCTCATATTTTACCTCATTGGAGAGATACAACAGAGTAGAACATAGAGTCTGCTCTCTGGAGAACAGAAAATAAAGGACCCATAGAATAGTTATTTGAATTGTGTGCATTTATTTCTTCCCTCACTTTCTTCCTTTTAGAAAGTCTACATCTCAAAAGGTCATGGGCATTTGTAGCATTACTATTATAAGTTGATTAGATTTTAGTAGAAAACAAAATTAAAACCGTGAGTATATACATCATTTAAGAACAGAATCTAACTAAAGAAACAAGTGGTTATCCTCAGAAAATAAGGTAATCCTAACAAAATTATTTTTCCATTTGAACCTAAAGTTTTTTTGCCAAAGACACACCAACAAACCAACCAACAGTAAAAGGTTATAAACTGAAGAAGAAAAGCCTACAGTAGAAGAGAGAACAGGAGAGAGAGGAACTTCATATTTGGGCAGGAAAATGTTGGGTGGTACCTGGCAAAAGAAGTGGCCAAAGGTCAATGAAAGCATCAAAGTATCAAAAGCTTCACACACTTGGAGTGGATACAATTCCTATGTTGTTATTTAGGTAGATTATAAAGGAACAATATAATAAAGTTCCCAAATATGCTAATTTTGAAGAGTTTTGCTTATAAACACATTGGAAGAAAACAAATCATCATTTAAGAATGGAATGCATAGTATGTTGAATTGAATTCCTCTTGAGATTTATTTAAAGATAACTTTAAAATGTTTTCAGAGCTGAGGAAGTGGCTCAGGCCTATAATCCTAGCTATTCAGGAAGCTGAGATCTGAGGATTAAGAATTGAAGCCAGCTTGGACTGGAAAGTTTATGAAACTCTTATACCAATTAATCATCAAAAAGTCAGAAATGGAGCTATAGCTCATGTAGTAGAGCATTAGCCTTGAGCACAAAAGCTCAGGGACAAAGCCCAGGCCCTGAGTTCAAGCCCTGAGACTGGCATCAAGTAAATAAATAAATACATAAATGGAGGGAAGGAAGGAAGAAAGTAAGGAAGGAACGAAGGAACAAAGGCAGGGAAGGTAGAGGGAGGGAGGGAGGGAGAGAGAAAGCAGGGCAGGTCAATCAAAAACAAATACGAGTTTTGCCTTTATTAAATATTTGGCTCTTGCTTGTCTCTGGATTTGTCTAGGTTTGTTTTCTGTGGTAGGTGTGTTCCAAATGAGTCCTTATGCTGCTACCTTGTCTTTTAAGTACATCTCATGGTCTCTTTCAGTTTCTAGTAATCTCCATCTTAGCCTCTGTGTTTTATCTCTTTTTGGTCTTTCTTCATTGAACATGAGACACACTGTGTAATTGTGGTACTTGATATAATAGTTTTCTGTGAGTACCATCATCAATCACCTCGTAGTAATTGAGGAGAAGGAGAATGGATGGTGATAGCAACTGGGTGGATGATGTTTATACAGGCCCCCATCCAGGTGGAAACCCATCCAGTATGCCAGAAGAAAATTAATGTGTTCTGATTCTCCAGTTCTAGGAGAAAAATCACTTGTGAACGAAGCCTGATGTAAATACAAAAGAGAAGCAGGCAGGAAATATCAGAGGGATTGGAAGGGCTTCTATAGCGTGATGGGATAGGCATTAATATTAAATCCCCATGGCATTTCTAACATAGGAGTAGTCCACTGGATTTTGCTGCAACAACAAAATCATAGCACTCATAAATAGATTACTCAGGAAACTATTAACATGCAACTTCAGCTCTGGCAAGATGACTGAGTTATGCATTGTAAATAAGGAGGCACTAGCATGCCAGGGATGACCCTGAATGGCCACCACACCTACAGCGGGGACAATATAAAGGCTCCTGTCCAGAGCAGGACACTCAAACTCACACTCCTAGGACTCAGCTGAACTCACAGCAGAACTCACCTCACCTCTCAACATGTCCTACAGCCGCTGCTCTGGAAACTTCTCCTCCAGCTCCGTTCAGGGCTGCCTGTCACGGTCCAGGTCCTCCTGTGGCTCTGCCTTCCCCAGCAACCTGGTCTACAGCACTGACCTCTGCGCTCCGGGCTCCTGCCAGCTGGCCTCTTCTCTCCACGGTGGCTGTCAGGACACCTGTGGCGAGCCCATGCGCTGCCAGAGTTCCTGTGTGGTGTCCAGTCCCTGCCAGAGTTCCTGTGTGGAGTCCAGTCCCTGCCAGAGTTCCTGTGTGGAGTCCAGGCCCTGCCAGAGCTCCTGTGTGGTGTCCAGGCCCTGCCAGAGCTCCTGTGTGGAGTTCAGGCCCTTCCAGAGGACCTGCTACAGCCCCAGAGTGTCTACGCTCTGCAGTCCCTGCCGCACAACTTACTCTGGATCTCTGGGCTTTGGGTCCAATGCTTGCCACCTGCTAGGGTATGGATCTAGAAGCTCCTGCTCACTGGGGTATGGGTGGAGACGCTCCTATGCCCCATTCTATACATCTGGAAGCTGCTACCCACAGGGCTGTGGTTCCAGCGGCTATGGAGTCTATGGTTTCCCTTCCCTGAGTTATGGGTCTAGATTCTGCCACCCACCCTATTTGGCCTCTAGAATGTACCAGGGTTATAGTTACAGACCTACCTGTGGCTCTGGCTTCTATGAATTTACTTGTTAAATATCTCTGTGCTTATGATTGCTGACCTACCCCGTGCCGCCATTATTTTCTTTGGCACTTCTGGGCCACTATGCTCTCATTCTTCCATGGAAAGCTTCTTTCCTCAGCTTCTAGCTAACTTTGAAATTAATGAGTAACCCTACATTGCACCTTAATCTCTGTACTGTATACACCTTAATTTTCATCCAAGAGCTGTTGAAATGAGAATTTAATCTAATAAATTTATGCAATCTAGTACCTGAATATGATGTTCATATTATTGTTTCGTGCATGTAGATTTTGCCTTCAAGGACTAGAGAAATTTTAGTAAACCTCTCTAATGGGCATTGACCATAATCTGACATTGGGTATAGTCTTTATTGGAAGTAGTAAGTTCTTCCCAGAGCATCCTTTGGTCTGCCACTTCAGTACAACAATGCTAAGAGTTGCATAGAACTGAGGACACAGTGATTTTCTTCATGGAATATAAGAAATTAAGATATAAACTAGAAAAGGCACTCAGTAATATGATGAGATCTACACTCACACAAAACCTTTTCTCAGTTTCCTATTTCACCAAGAGCAAAATGAGCCCAAGGAACTCTGAGGACACTTTGCCTTTTGTGGGTTGGTACAAATGCCAGATCTCTAAGGTATTCCAATACCTCTTCTGCCAAGGTGTAAGGAAAATCCAAGCAATCTTAAGTGAGCCTAATTGGTTTCAATGGATTTGTGTAACCTCTAGATGCTTCTCTAAGGCTTAATGTCAATTAAGCTAGCAGCAGCATCTGAGAAAGAATATACAAACTTTTTTGTATTAGTCCCAGTCTGCATCTCAAAGGATTTTACAATGAGTAACTGGGACTCAACCTTTCCAGGATGTTTTAGGAACACAGAATGACTTGGAGTTATTCTCCTCAAGATCTGGGCAAAGGGAAAAGTGGTAAGTTTGTTTCTGTGTTCCAGTGTTTAAACAATTCTAAATATATGTTTTCTCAAAATCTAGTAGAAAGCACTAACAGTACAAGGGAAGAATGATAGTGAACGCTTTCAGTTTTCCAAGTGTGAACCTTTGAGATGGCCAGAAACAAAGAAGTTCTGCCTATTCATAGGAAAGATGCTGTTTGTGATACAAACAAGTTCTGCCTATTCATAGGAAAGATGCTGTTTGTGCAATGCTGTTTGAAGCGTGCATGCACGTGTTTTCTACAGCTACACCTAGGATGCTCATCAAGACTATGGGATACATTAATACAAGATATAAACTCTAAGACTATGGGATACAGATGCAAGCTCTTCATTACACACTTGAAAATCCCTGGAAGATGCCAAAGACTATATGCTATAAATCTTTTCATATATGAGATAAAGCTAGTCTCTCTTCTTTCTCTGACACCTCCATTTGTAGATAAAGACCTACCAGAAAATAAGTTTAAATGAATGTTTAAATATGAAGACTTTGTGAATAGCCACAAAGTCTTTAGTCTTTCTACTCTTGTGGAAATTACTTAATCTGAGTATATTTAATATTCTACTAGATCAATTTCTTTAGTCACATGAGTAATACTAAACAAACTTGTTCAATAGTTATGCTGTTACACAAATAATTGATTGAAGAATATTTGGTGGCAGCTCAGGAGGAAATTATTAGAAACTTTTAGTGCTGTGCTAAAGTTGATGTCATTAATTGTGTGTGTGTGTGTGTGTGTGTGTGTGTGTGTGTGTGTGTGCCAGTACTGTGGCTTAAACTCAGAGCCTCTTATTCTTGACATTTTACACAGCTAGTGCTCTACCATTTGAACATACCTTCAATCCAGCATTTTGTTGGTTCATTGAACATAGAGGCTTACAGAAGTCTCTGCCTGTAATTGATTTAACCTTAAATCCAAGTAGCTAGGATTCCTTTGAATTATTAATTTTAATGATCCTTTTTAATATAATTTAGTTTATACAGATGTAGGAGTCAAGATGGTTGATATCACATTCCCCTTTCAATAATATTTAACAATATCAACAAAAGAGTAAAAGTGCGAATCGCTTGTGACATCTCATTAATATTCTAAACTGGAAGAGAGATTGAAGGAGACCAGTGAATCAAAGTGAACTCATCAAAGAGCAGTCTTTTTATACTACTAATATAATAAGAAGTAATTTTTTTAAAAATTGAGATATTGGCATGAAAGAATATATAATTCAAAAAAGAAAATGTATTGCATAGGCTTGGTTAGATAAAATAATGGCAACAATGAATCAGAAATAACAAATTCCAGAATTCAGAGATAATACAACAGTGATGGACAAAGACAAAGCAAGTATTTCTAATATAAGTGTGAATATAGATGATCATTGTTTCCATTTTAAAATTTCCACTTTATAGCTTAATTGGAAATAGTACTCACTCATGTTATTAGCACAATCACAAATACATTTTTATAAGATTCTTAATTATTGTCCTTACCATGATGCTATTCATAACCAAAATCTGTGACTTTTATGATTCCTGAGACAGCAAATAACTATCATCAAAGATGAACTCTTAATGAATATATATTGGCAATATCAAAGGGATGATGTGAAGCCAGGTTCAGGTGGCTTAGGTCTGTAATGTTAGCAGAGATCTGTAGGACTGGATTTTAAAAAATACAGCAGGCAGAATCTTGGCCATGTAATTGTAACCCCTCTGTACAGTATTTTCACAATAAAAAAATAAAAAAAAGAAAAGTCCACATGATTCCACTTCCACAATAGCCAGCCAAAAGCAAGGCTGGAGGTGTAACATAAATGTAGAGCACCAGCCTAGCAAGCCTGAAGCCCCATGTTCAAACTCAAGCACAACCAAAGGAGGTTGGGAGGAAAGATGTGAACCTACCATAGATGAGGAAATGAGATCATTGAAGTTCATTTTATTTTATTTTATTTTACCCTTAGTGATTTTTATTCCTCAGCTAGTAGAAAGGATACGGTCTTTATACTTTCACAAGAAAACAGTATGTAGCATGAGTCAAACCATTTCAGAGTCAAACTAGTGTACAGAAACATAATTTGCAAGTCCGATTGTTCAGTAATCACCTTTATAAGTAGTCTTTTTTAATTGTTTACCATCACTTGAAGACTTAAGTAATATCATGTTCTTAACTTTTTGCGTGAGGAACTATGTCACATATCTTCATGTTGGATAATAAATATCATCAGTTATGCACTCACAATGAATTTGCTTTAGTACTATAAAGTAAGTATACAACTGTGGGCATTAAAAGTAAAAGTTTTGTGCCTCTTAAAAATGTTTTACATAGGGTGTTATAATAAATCAACCAAATAAATAGTTGTGATTTTTAAAAGTACAATATATCCAAAACCACTATAGTAAGAGAATTTAGATTATTTCTACGCTCCAAGACCATATGATTAATTTAATGCACTTAACTTCAAGTACCGCTAACCAGCAATTTTCAAAAATTCCCACTACCACCACCTACTGGTGGCTCATGAATATTGACTCAGGGGTAAAGCAATACAGAACTACAACAAATGATCTACTCTCAACTTGAGTCTTTATTTAAATGTGTCGATTTTTGTGTAAATTGTATTTTAATGCAATTTATCTTCCCAGTGACCCCTCTGCATGCTGTTTTTGAATAAAAAAAGACAGCTCAATTTTGTTTAGAAAGGGTGATCTTTTTAATATTCTTTCCAATTTAACAATAGATTTAAACTGTTCATTATATATTTATCTTGTGCTCAACTAGATTAATCTGTGATTTAAATAAAGTGAAGGTCTCCAAAAATCAATCATTTATGGCAGTTAATGTTTTACATTATTAATAAAGTTTTTAATAATTATTCATTAAAATTATTCTAAAATTCTGTTTCCATTTACAAATAGCAGTGGGGGTTGAGATGAAAAAGAAACCAAAATATACAGTGACCCTGTTGCTAAGCAACTAAATCATCTGTACCTTTTATAGTATTATCCTTGTCATAAAGATAAAAATTTGGAAAATACTTGATGATTCAAGAGTAACCAACTGTTGATATTTAGCTGAAATCTACAAGAGAATATTCATATTGTTTGAGAAGATATTTTCTTTCAAATAAGTGCTATTAACCAAACAACCAGGAAAACAGAAAAAAAATTGAAACTCGATTATGTGGAAAATACATGGGCTACTTGTTAATAAATGTTGGCATGTGTTAGTAATTTTACTTAGAAATCTACATTAAGGAAAGTAAAGCTATGGGAACAGAACACCTCACTGCATATAAAACACTAATACCTTCTTTCTGGTTGGATACCCTCAGTCATATTTGTCATAAAACTTATATATATATACATATATATATGTATATATATATAGAACTTATATATATATACATATATATATATGTATATATATATAGTTTTTTTTGAAATTTTGACCAGGGCTTGAACTTAGGGTCTGGGCATTGTCCCTAAGCTTTCGTGCTCAAGGCTAGTGCTCTACCACTTTGAATGAAAGGTGCACTTCTGGCTTCTTTACTGTGTATATGGTTAATTATAGATAAGAATATCACGGACATTCCTGCCGAGACTGGGTTTGAACCATGCTCCTCAGATCTCAGCCTCCTGAATAACTATGATTAAAGGCATGAGCCACCTGTGCCTGGCTTATAATAATAAATTTGTTCCTAAATTATATAAATAGTTTAATAATCCATGCAAATTGTTACCATTTCAAAAAATATTAAATATTGTAACTACATATAACACAAATCACAGTCATGAGTTTGTGGTTTTAAAAAGTGTGTAACCTCAATGGAATTCTATGCCTCCATCAGAAAGAATGCCATTGCCCCATTTGTTAGGAAATGGAAAGGCTTGGAAAAAATTATATTAAGTGAAGTAAGCCAAGCCCAAAGAAACATAGGTCCCATGGTTTCCCTTATTTGCAATATCTAGTATATGTATGAGTCAAGCGGAAAAGGTCAGATAATGTGATGTTAGGAAAATGAACCCTTAGATATGTATTTTAATGTTTTTTTCTTTCATACATTTGTTTCTAATGCATTTATAAGATTATTTCTTTGTTGATTTGTACGTCCCTCCCCCACAGTATAACCCCTGCTTTCACTGTATTTGATGTCGGTATAATTTGTGGAGGAGATGGGAAAAACAAGTCGTTTAAGGATACAGGTGGACCTGTTGCAACAATGAGAAGTACAAGTTGTCATGTCGAAAAGGAACTTTATAACTTTGGTGGGGGGGGGGGAGGATTGGGGGGAGGATGGGGGGGAAGCTGGGAAGGGAGGTGAAGGGTAAACAAAGGAGGAGGCTGCAATGCTTGATAAGGAATGTACTCATTATCTTGTCCATGTAATTGTAACCCCTCTGTACAGTATGTTCACAAAAAATAAAAATAAAAATTTTAAAAAAAGTGTGTAACCTTTATTCTATCATATGATAAATCAGGCAAGCAAATTGTATATGTAAATGTGGAAGTTGAAAACATGTTTCAACTATTTAAAGTTGAAAGGACTTTTTGTCATTCTTGTTGTTTTGAGAGGGTGTTGTGCATGTCCTGGGGCTTGAACTTAAGTTCTAGGCTGCTTCAAACTTCAATCTTCAGATTTCATCCCCTCCCCCACCTCCAGTAGCTAGGAATACAGACATGAGCCACCAGCACCTTACTGGAATATTTTAGGTATAAATACAGAAAAGATAAGCGCAGCCTGATATTTAGAATTCATTTTGAAGAGAAAAATTAAAAGTAAATGAATAAATGATATTAAAGAAATATTAAAGTGGAAAGTCATATAAATATTTTATTTAAACGTATAACATTTTCACTTTGCAAAACTTAAGACAGACCAGAAGAGACATTAGGAATTAATGAGGCTTCAATAATTGCATGTCCATATCATGAGCAGAAAACAGTTTGGCCTCTTTTTCAGTTACCGTAATTCAATAGGGTTCCAATGTCTAGACTAAGAACAGAAGAGCTCAAACGTAAGTTAGATCTTAAGATAAAAGCTGCCACGTAGACAGATCGGATTTCTCCAGTACAGGATTAGTAGAAGCCAGATCCACAGGCTGGTTGGTAAGACACGGACTGGCAGCTTTTAGTAGAGAAGTAGGTGGGGCGGTAGAAGTTAGGTCTGCAATAGAGGGATGAGAAAGATTGGGGACCACAGCCCACGGTTTGGAAACCACGGTTCCCAAAGCCCAGAGAGGGAGAGCCAAGGCCAAAAGTCTGACGCCCCTTGGTGTCAAAGCCCAGGGACCCTGTGCAAGCTGTCTGGTAGGGTCTGTAGCATGTGGAGATCTTGGGGCGCCACCAGTTCCTCTGAAAGGGCCCGGAGGGCACGCAGGTAGACTGGAAGCCGGTGGGCTCCTGGAAGGTCTCCTGACAATCGCTGTAGCTCAGCTGGTTGGTGAAGGGCGATTGGAGGTCAGTGCTGTAAAGCCAGTTTTGGGGATGGGAAGATCCGCAGGAGGAGACTGGGTACTGCAGGTAACCTCCAAAGGAGCAAGATGAGAAGTTTCCGGAGCAGCCGTTGTAGGCCATGCTGAGAGGAGACCGGACCTGCGAGGAAGATGTTCTGAGCTCGAATGTCGCCCGTGACACTGCGTGGAGCGTTTATATACCTTTATCACTGTGGGCTGTGTCATCCCTGAGCTCAGGAAAACGCGTTGCTGCTTGTAACTGCACGGAAAGGGCCTTCGTCGTCATCATGCAATGCTAATTTTTGTGGTTTTTCCAGCTGGAAAGCACAGGAGTGCATGTGGCCTGGGGATTCAGAGGTTGCTGTGGTCTCTTCAAAGCTATTATTCATCTTCCCTCTGCAAAGGTCACCCTGGAAGTCGCTTCCGAGGTCGTCAGTGTCTGGGCTGCGAGAAGCCGTCTTAATTAAAAATAATTGATTCCCTCTTTCACAATCTGCCATCTGGCTAGCAAAGTTGTTCACTGATGTCTTTATAGTCATTTCTTTTCAACAAAAGCAAGCATTGATAATTACCGCGAAGGGGCAAGCTTGCTTTTGATGATGCGCCATCCCAAAGCCGCAGAACTGATCTGCAAGGAACCTAGGGTATTGCTCTCGAATTGGACCTCAATTTGAATGGCTTTAGGGAAATATGAACTGAGAGATTCCCATATGCCCTGTCTTCCTGCTCAAAGCTGAATGCAGACCACTGAGATTGAGTCTTAGCTTTTCTTTGGCCCCATGTGTGTTTAAACACTCTGTGAACTAAATCCCATAAATGGCCAAATACCATTTGGACATGATCACTTATCCAGCTAAGATGCAGAAGAAGCACTAAAAGTAAGAACAAAGCATGTGGAAAATATGTTTAATATATTTCCATTTGTCAGCAGAGTCCATATTCCCCACTGAAAGAATTCCTCAGGATCTAGGAATTGTTCTTTCCTAAAGAAAGCCTTCAAATGGAATGTTCTCGAAATGTTGAGCTGAAGAAGCTGTCACCCCAGAAAGCAACATATGTGGCTTTGATTTAACTTGTGTTTGGGTGTTTCTGAAAAGTATTACAAAATTTCTAAAGCAGGGGTCATACTATTTTTTGTCCTGTGATTTGTGCTTCACTCAGGGTAAGACCTTGTATAATGAAGAATGATAGGTTGAGATTTTTCTTCCTGTGCTCACCTACTCTTCACTATGTTCATTTCACTGAAAAAAAAATGTTTCCTTTCCATTTCTGAACCAAAATGTTTAGATGAGAGAACATTATTTGTTGAAAGGGACAATACTGATCAAGATGCATTATATTCATAAACAGCTTTGTTAAATGCCAACTCCTTTGTGCAAGTACTTGAAGACAATAAAATTTAAAGAAAAGGAGGAATGCTATTATTTTTTGAGAAAAGAATGTTCAAAATTGTTTTGATGTCTGAGTTCAAGGAATATCTTTTTCCAATAAAATGGCTAATATGGTAAAGGAAGAGATGAAAACAATCTAACAAATTCAATTTTGTTGAGTTAAATATTTATGCAGATATTTTCTTGTTCAATATTTTATTAAAAAATAAAACACATACTAGGAACTGCTAGAAAGAGCTTAAGGAATAACAATTGTTTATTTTGGAAATAGAGGGCAATATATGAAATGTAAAGAAGAAAACGTGATTGGAAGTTGATTTGTCAACTCCCAAGTTCAGATTCATAAAGTCTCCCTTGAGACTTTATGGTTCCCCAATCTTCCATAAGATTAGAATCCCAGTTGCAAAAATCCTGATTGGATGACCCTAGAACGTTCTGCTTGAAAGTCTCACTATCCACAAAAGAGAATTTTTTAGACTTTTCCCTACTACTTCCACTTAGTAATAGTCATAATGTTCATAGAATGAATCTCAACATATATTCATTGTATTATTTTACTAGTTGTGAAGATGGATATTTAAGTTTTTACCCATCCCTTCCTCTCAGCCATTTCTTGTGTTGTATTTCAAGTTAGCCCAGCAGCATGGGAATGCTACTTCTTCTAGGAGGAATTTATTTATCACCTGATGGCTATACTGCATTGTTCTTGTCTCTTTTGATACCTGTCCTAATCTGTATTTCAGTGGAGCTGTGGATTCTTTGACTCTCTGATCCTCCTGTGAAGTCTGTATGATAAATGCCTTCCACATTTCTTGCTTTTCTTAATCCTGTGTTGTAAAAGGCCCACTTTCTAAGAGGACATAAAGCGATGGAATAAAGTCACTCATGTTATCTATAGTGCTTGCTATTTTATTCTCGTTAGTATCAATGTAATAAAATGACTTCAACTTTGTAAGAATGAAAAAGTTTTGATAATCAAATGTATTATTCATTAATGACTTCAATCAAGAAGCAAGTCAAGAGGCAAGTTGAAAGGCTCAATGGTAGAATATGTTTCTTCTTATTGTGCATAATGCCCTGAAATCAATCACCAGCATCTCCAAAAGTAGAGAATGGAAGAGAAAGAAAGAGAGAGAGATTGAGAGAAAAGAAAGAAGCAAGAAAAAAAGAAAGAAAGCATAAAAGAAAGACAAAAAGAAAAAAGAAAGGTCAAGAAAATTCAGAAGTGATTCCCTGGCTTAATTTTATAATATACTCTTCTTAGCATGACTACAAATCGTGAACCTTCATATTCAAGAACTTTACATACTCTTATCCACAACAACATGACAACTTGAACCACAAGAACATTTATGTTCCATAGTAAAATTTTTATTTTATATAAAATTTATTTCCATAATTGTGCTATACTCAAATTAATTGATTTCTTATTTATTGTTCTTACCAAGGAAGGCTCATTACAGACTTTCTTCTCTCATAAGGTCCTCAAGATTTAGAAGAAGTTATGTATTATGGGGATCTCTTTTTTCTCCTCTCTCTCAATTGTATTCTTTTACTTAGAACATTATCATTGTTTTCCAATGTTGTTCATTTGACCTATTATCCTGAAGGTCAGCATGAATGAAGCACCCATCTTAGTGACATAATGACGCTGATTTTCATTCTATTCAAGGTACATGAATGAGAAATTTGCATTTTTGTTTCATGAACAATTGCTTTACAAAAAAAAAAAAAAGCCTAATGAAATTCCTTCACTTAGAAGTCTTCATTCATAAAGAAGAGCTTTGAAGGTTAAATTATCTCATTTTTACTGGAGCCTAATTAGGCATTCTTATTAAAATGGTCACATGCTACTTACTACAGCCACATCTGGGCTATATAAGAAGCCAGAGCAGACAGCAGCATTCAAACTCCAGCTTCTCACTGCAACTTGACTGGAAACCCAACTCCTGACAACATGTCTTACGCCTGCAACTCCGGAAACTTCTCCTCCCAGTCCGCTGGCGCTTACCTGAGATACCCAGGGTCCAACTGTAATTCCTTCTACCCCAGCAATATAATCTACGCCCAGAGACCCCAGCAGCTGTGCTCCTCCTTCTTTGGTGGCCAACAAGAGAGCTTCTCCGACCCCACTGACTTCGAGACCTCAGGGGTGGACGCCACCTCCTGCTTCCGCCCCAAGAACTTCATCTTCTCCAGGCCCTGCCATACACCTTACGCTGGATCTTTCGGATGCGGCAACTCTGGCTTTGGATCTTCTGGATATTACAACTCCGGCTTTGGATCTTTTGGCTATGGAAACGCTGGATTCCAGTCTCTTGGATGTGGTTCCAGCTACTCCCGCCCCACATTCTTCTCTTCGAAGAGCTACCAGTCGTCTTACTACCAGCCAACCTGTGGCTCTCGCTTTTTCGGATCAACTTACTAGACGTACCCATCCTCTCATGATTTCTTTGGCGCCTTCAGAAACTTGAACCTTCTGTGATAAGTTGGCCATATGCGGATCACAGTTCTAGAAGTAAATGATGGTCTTCGAGGGACTAAGAAATTGGCCTATGATCTTTCCTCCTTCTGATGTGAGATTTAGCTTCAATTTCCATTCTTATTCTCCTGCTTAGAGTCATTTCTAGTGCCTTCTTTTTAAAACTTCTCTCATTATGTTCCTAGAATTCTTTTACTAGTGTTTCAAATAAACTTTTCTCTCCAGCATGAATTCTGGTATTCTGCTTGTTTTTTTTAAAATACAGTGTATGTATCGCATACAATCCAGGACAGGTTGTCTTCAGGTTGTCTCTTCCTATTTCATATATGCCATAAATTAATTTTGTTAGACAAAAAAATAAGGACTTCAAAAAATTCAAATATATGACATAAATACATGACATATCTCTAAGAGATTTATTTGCCTTCGTGAGTACATTGGTTCATAATATCACTCCAGAAATTTTGTTATTAGGAGAATAGTCACCAAAAAAGTATTTATTGGGCTCTTATTCTATGGAGGATTTGTACTGAACAAAGACACAAATTCTCTGCCTTTAAAAACCAAATTGTACTTACTAGCATTGAAGTCAATATTGAGGATAAGAACATGAGATTCAGAGGAAACAAAAGGAGGGGCTGCAGAAAGAATCTGAGAAAATGGTAGATAACTCATTATCACAATGAGGAAGAAGTGCAATAATAATAATAAATAATAAAATAAATAAATCGTACCGACATGTTGTCATTTGGAATTTTTAGAAAGAAGGCTGTACCTGGGATTAGCAAGGAGGGCATGTGTTTGGGAAAATAGCAGTGGGGAGAAAGGGAAGGTAGTAGGAGGGATTATTTAACTAGAGGTCATCCATTTGCTGTGATGTGTGCTTGATCTTTCCTCTGTGAAGAGGAAAGAAAGTTGTATTAACATTTTTTTTTCAGTTCTGCCACTAAGTTACAGACTCAGCCTTCTTTTTCTTTTCTTATTTTGAGACAGAGTCCCATTGTTTCCTAGGTTGGCTTTGATCTTGATATCATTCTGCTTTAGCTTCTCCAGTAGCTGGAATTTGAAGCCAGTTCCAGCATGCCTGGCTTGTTAGAAGAGAACCTGTATTTACTTTTTGTGTGTATGGGCTTGAACTCAGAGCCTAGGTTCTATCCCTGAACTTCTTTTGCTCAAGGCTAACACTCTACCACTTGAGCCACAGCTCTACTTCCATATTTTCCTGAGTAGTTTGTTGGAGATAGGAGT